CACTCCTGACTGGCCACCAGCTGGATTTAACTCCATTAACCACAACTCTCTGGACCCAGCCATCCAACCAGTTCCTAATCCAGGCAAGTATATGCCTATCCAGGCCAGCTTTTCCAGGAGAATGCTGTGGGAAACTGTCAGACGCCTTGCTAAAGTCAAGGTAGACAACATCCACAGCCTTTCCCTCATCCAGTAAGGATGTCACCCTGTCATAGGAGGAGATCACATTAGTCAAACAGGACCTGCCCTTCATGAACTCGTGCTGACTGGATTTGATCACCTGGTTGTCCTGCACGTGCCTCATGGATGATCTGCTCCATCAGCTTTCCCAGGACTGAAGTTAAACTACCAGGCCTGTAATTCATCCTTCTGTTCCTTCTTATATAAGGGGGTAACATCAGCTGACTTCCAATCTGATGGGTCCTCTCTAGGCTGCTGGTAAACGATGGAGAGTGGCTTGGTGATCACTGCTGCCGGCTCTTTCAGCACTCTTGGGTGCATCCCATCTGGCCCCAGAGACTTGTGCACATCTAAATGTTGCAGCAGGTCAGTGACCATTTCCTGCTGGATTGGGGGAGATCTTCCTGCTCCTGGTCCCAGTCCTCTAACTTAGGGAGTTGGATTCCCTCTATATAGCTGTCCCTGTTAATAAAGACTGAGGCAAAGAAGTCATTAAGCACTTCAGCCTTTTCCTCATCTGATGTCCTCCTGCATCTGACAGGGGATGGAGGCTCTCCTGCATGTGACAGGGGATGGAGGCTCTCCTTGACCTTTCTTTTGTTGTTAATATATTTATAGAAACTTTTCGTATTATCCTTAACCATAGAGGCCAGATGAACTTCTAGCTGGGCTTGGGAGCTTCTAATTTTTTTCCTACCTAGCCTCACAATGTTTTTGTAGTTGTCATGAGTTGCCTGCCCTTTTTTCCAAAGGCCATAAATCCTCTTTTTCTCCGAGTGCCAGCCAAAGCTCCCTGCTAAGCCAGGCAGGTCTTCTACGCCTCCAGCTGGATTTACGGCTAACGGGGATGACCTGTGCTTTCAAGACCTTTTTCTTAAAGAGCATCCAGCCTTCCTGGACTCCCAGACCCCTCAGTACCGATCCCAAGGAACTCAAGCAATAAGAATACTAAACAAGTTAAAATCTGCCCTACTGAAGTCCAAACTGGCTGCACCCCTTCCTGGCATCTCTAAGTATAGAAAACTTTATCAGTTCCTGGTCGCTGTGCCCAAAGACCCCCTCCAGCCATCACATTTCCTACCAGACCTTCCCTGTTTGTAAAGAGCAGGTCCAGCAGGGCTCCTTCCCTGGTTGGTTCACTCACCAGCTGTGTCAGAAAGTTTTCCCTGTTTGCTCCCCATGTGTTGCCTGATCTAGCTGAGAGGCGTCCCTCCCCACCCTGCCCATGACAGGGAGGTTGGATTAAATGATCTCTAAGGTCCCTTCCAGCCTAGGCCATCCTGTGATTCTATGACATTCCAGGAACCTCCAGGACTGTTCCCTCTCTGCTGTGTTGTAGTTCCAGCAGATATCAGGGAAGGTGAAGTCCCCCACAAGAACAGCGACTGAGGGATTTCACTCAGCTGTTTATAGAAAATCTCATCCACCTCATAATCCTGGTTTGGACACCTATAATAGACTCCAACAGCCACATCAGCCTTGCTGGCTTTGCCCTTAATCCTAATGCAAACAGACTCAACCCTGTCATCACTGTACTCCAGTTCAGCACATGCATAGCTATTCTTTATATACAAGGCCACCCCCCACCTCTCCTTCCTTGCCTGTCCCTCCTGAAGAGTTTGTAGCCATCAGTTGTGGCACTCCAGTCATATGAGGCATCCCACCACATCTCTGTGATAGGCACTATGTCAAAGTCTTCCTGTTGCATCATGGCTACAAGCTCCTCTTGTTTGTTGCCCGTGCTGCACACGTTGGTATAGATGCGCTTCAGGTGAGCCAACGATCCCAACACCTTTTTGTGGGAGCGGGTACTAATTCCTGCCTGAACCTTCTCAAATGTTTCCAGGGTTTCTAAAGCATCACCATGTCTTGCCCTTGGTTTCCCATTGCATCTCTATCACCCATCTCTACTGAGATGGGGGAATGAGAGTTTTTGCTAGCATGCCATCCTACAGACTCTCGCATGTTTTCCCTGGGCTTATGCTCAGTGGGCCCAGTTTTAACCCTTCCCCCTGGCCAGGAGACATGGGAGGTGACCGAACCACTTTAAGATTGTCTTCCAGTATTGTGGTAGGATCATGTCTCTGTTGAGGGTCTGGCAGAGTGAGGAGATGCTAATGAAAACCACCAAATGTTTGTGCTGCTGAGGCTCAGCAAAGCCAAGCGCTGCTGGTGTAAGTGTGATACTGCTATCTGCTAAGGATCTGCAAACAGGTCAGAAAAGAAGGGTTCAGCCTAGGTTACAAAGATCTCAGATTTTAGAGAGGTGAGGCAGAGAATGAACAGTTCACCAGGTTATTTTCTTTTGTGTTTCATATTTTAGTAAGGCAGAGGAAAAAGTGCTTTTGATTCCAGCACCCCAGACCTCCGCCAGGCTGGGGGCCCATCTGCTCCATTTGTTTCCTTTGTTGTACAGCATGTTCGTGGTTTGGATTTGGCCTGTGGTGTTGTAAAACATCGTCTTTGTTAGAGGTGGGGAGTCTGGGGGCTTGGTTACACAATCCAAAGCAGATGGGAAGCGAAACGCAAAACCCCACCAGTGGTTTACAGCAATCCATTGGCTTGGAGAGGGAAGATCAGTGGCAGGCGTGTGGGCAGCCCCTGCAGCCCAGCTGAGGGGCCTGGCGCTGCAGAACTGGGGCACGCTCGGTGTTAGGCTGCAGGTGGTAAATGCCCACAAGCCACAGGCACCATCTAGAGTGTGCTGTTCCCTGAACTTCAGCGACAGGCACTGGGAAAATGAGTTAATGGCTATTTGTTCTGGTTTATCATAGCAAAGATCCCAGCCAGGACATGGAGTGCTTTCGTAGTTAATGCAGGAAACCTCCAGGCTGCTTGTTTGGGATGACTTCAGTGCTGTATCTGCCAAAGATGCAAAATCATACCTTGTGTGTCCAAAACTATCACAAAACTGGCAGAGACCGAGATCAAAACCCAGGAAATAGCTGTCAAGAAGCCAGTCTGCTTCACAAGCAGGTAAACAAGCTGATTTTCTCTGATCTGTCGGCTTGCAGACATCAGCTCAGAGGCCTGTCTGCTGCTCTCAGCCTGTGCCATAGGAGTCTGCCCCACAGATGCTGTTTGGCTGCAAAAGCAACTGCACTTTGCTAGAGAAGGGATGTGCACTCCTGTGTTTTCTTTTACTTTGATTTATCTCTCTTGGAAGTGCCACCTAGGTCTCTCAGCTTTTCCACAGCAATTAGTATTTACAGTCACTGGTTATGAAAACAGCAAACAGGAATAAGGACTCTGTGGAATTCCTCCAGCGGTAGGATAACCCCACTGCCACCAGAGCACGCCAAGTGCTGCCGTTTGGCCGACACCAGGAGCGGGCAGGGCACCGGGTGCAGCACTACGGGCGGGTGGGCGGCGCTGCCACAGAGCCCTGCGGCCGGCCTCCGCGCTCCCACCCTGAGCATGTGTGAGCTCAAGGCTTTCCACCGGCAGCTGCGCTATCTCAGCTTGCAAAGCCTGAAGATAGGCTTAGATCTACACACCTGCTGCAGCCTGGGCTTGCTCTCTTGTGAAACTACAACGTGCAGCCCCACAGACGCTTCAGTAAGGCCACAGCCCACATCTCTGTGCCAGCTGCCAGAACATCCCCACACTGCAAACCCGCGAGAAACGCCTCAGCCAAGAGGACAGCAGGCCTGGAAGGTCACCCGGCTTCCACGTAACGGCTTCCACAGCCCCCCCCTAGCCGGTCACCCGGCTTCCACGTAACGGCTTCCACAGCCCTCCGCTAGCTCACCTCCAGTCCCAACAGCTGTGGCGGCGAGCTGCATGAGGGGCAGTTTCCTGGCAGAAGGAACAGCGCTGGTGGCAGCAGCACACTTGTCCAAAGTCCTGTCCCTCTGGAGCCAGATCTGGATCTAGCACACCAGCTCCGGGTCCTGCTGAGCTGCCCTGGGGCTCTGCCAGCAGTGGAATAAAGTCACCCAGGAGCTCAGAACCATCACCTCATGCCTCCTGCTGGAACTGCTTGGTCCTTTTCTCAGTATGTACCAGTGGGGGTGTATCTATGTTTAAAACATTCCCCCAGAACACTTCATTGGTGCATTTGTCCTCCTGGGAGAGGATAAGGGAAGAAACATGATGGATTTTACTCACACTACTGAAAGCGCTCTCGAGTGGTGCACTGACGCAGTGGAGCTGGCTACGTTATGAGAGCCCACGTAGAATAAAAGTTACAGACCTGTTTTCACTGACACCGTGGTGCAACATCTTACTTTTCTGTCTGGTGGGAAGCCTGCAATATTAACTATCATGACTTGCATGGGTGTATGGCATGACTATACTGCTGAACATAGAGGGCATATAAAAGTCTTCAGGTGAGTAGCGATGCAGGAATTCTGGAGTTTACATTTCCTAATTTGTTACACTAAGCTATATAATCCTATATTATATTAACTTGTTTCAAAATCTGTACAGACAGCCATCACTTGTCCAGCAAACCGGAGAAGGTGTTTTTGTACAAGCTAGAAAAGGAGCACTGCAGAACCCAGCGACCAGAACTCCTGCAGCCAAACTAGAGCTATCGGTGATGCTCCTGAGCGGAGGAGCAAGGGCAAATCCAGACTGATCATTTCAGCTGCTTTAGAGACACCAGTGCTTTCCAAGAGGAAAGAAAACAAAATAAATATGAACATTTAGCATTTAGCATTGTGTTCCATTATAATGAAAAATGAGCTGAGCAGGCAAATACCGCATTAATTAGCATCTCACTAAGAGGTAGCAAGGCTGAAAAAACAAACATGCAGGCAACACGTGTGAAGCAAAGACCATGTTTTTCTGGTTCCATGAGAAGATTTGTTTGCTTTTGTTTTCTCATCCACTAGACAGGAGACAACCATGTAAGCTTTTGTCTACAGGTCTGTGCATTTTTATTGTTCAAAGTACTCCAAAATCCTCAAGCTGTATTTTTGATTTTAATTAGTTGGCAAGATGACAAATCATGCAAGTGTCTTTAAAACTGCCTGTGGGAAAATCCCACATGAAGTGAGTAGAATTTATTCTCCCTTGGGAGACATGATGAGACACCATTATTTCTGGCACAGGAGGAAAGCAGGACTTGAAAGTAGTCTTGCCTTTGATTTGTTATCAAAGCTGAAACTATAAGGAAGCCCAGAAAGGACTTTTATGCTGGAAACATAAAACCAAAATCCCAGATTAGTGCAGCTCCCACTTGATGAGGCAGAAAGCAAGAACCAAACCAGCAGGTAGAAGAGGTGCAGGGCAGGACACGAAAAAGTGCCCAGCCTGACTGCACAGTGCCAGGACATTGCTCCTAGTGCGAGACAGGATGATTACAGCCCCCTACACACCAGTCTCTGGGAAGGCATTAAACTAGAAACAGACACATATATTGTGTGCACAGACACTGCCAGATTTGAGGAGCACTACACAGAAGGAGAACTACCTGTATTCACCGGTTTGAGGAGGAGAATAGGAGCTTCCCAGAAACCCTCAGAATCTGACTGAGAAAGGACAATAAGCAGAAGCAAATGGGCAACGTACAGTCTCTGAGTCTCACAAACTATCCAGTTCATTTCATTTCACTGCCACGCAGATGTGAAGGGACGTTTGCGTTGTCCCATTGGGCCCGGAGATGGCTCCCATACCATTTCCAGTGGCAGTAAGTAAGTACATACTGAGGTGTACAGCTCCCCTTTTCAGTCTTGGCTCTGACCTCTACAACCTTTAGACGTCCTGTTCAAATCTGCAGGAAAAAAAAGTTCATCCTGCATTTCACTTTTAGCTCCCACAACTGTTCTTTCTTGGTTTGTCTCCTAACTTGCTGACTTCCAATTTCCTTCAGTGACTCCTCTTCTTTCCCCTCTCCATTATGTCCACAGTATTTTTCCAGTGTTCTTTTCATCTTGCTACACTTCTCAGTGTACATTATGCCTTGCCAGGATCTCCGCTAGTAGCTGACTACTGACCTAAATGAATTTTCCCATCTTGTACAAAAAAATCTCTGCTGTTCTAATACCTTCCCTGGACTCCTGGTGTTGTGTCAGTTATAGACACACACTACCAGTGCCCATAGACCCTTCACATTCTTACAACCATCCTGTATTTACAGTTAAACTTTCCACTGCATGTGCAGCCAGGCTGCCAACACAAAATCTTCATGTTCTATCAACTGTACTTCATCAGCATATCAGTGGCTTAAAATTCCTCTCTGTAGCCAACTATATCCTGGCTTCATTATCAGTCATACTTTTGTCCAAAGACAAAATTCAGTGATACCAATTCTTTCCTCAGGTGCCCTTGCTGTCCTCTTGCTCAGTACTAAGCCAAGTGTCAGAGTCTTGTTCCTTCTCTCAGTCCTTCTGTAGCTCTGAACCTGCCTTTTGCTTGTGTTCTACCACACACTAAATCAGAGGGCTAGGCTTGTTTCTACCTTTCTGCACAGAACTGCATGTGCTTTTGCTCTAAAACACGCACGAGTATCAAGTCTGAGCTGTCTGATGAGCATCAAAGTGACCAGTGATACAGCACTGAATTGATCTGCACTTGTGTGGCGTCTGACATTTCCAGAATTCCCCAGATTTACTATGCACGCAGGGACCATTTACACGCTGCAGACAGAAGGGCTGAAGCTTTCCAGAAGGATTAAGTTGACAGTATATGTGCAATAACATTGATCTGCCCTTGTGTAGGAACTCCATCTTTGGGATTTTCTAGTATCTGGAAGCCTATAAAAATAGATTAAAATAATGAAACTTTCCCCAGGCAAAATTGTAGGTGAAAAAACCGACATCTGTCTTTCTCACTCCCTCATCACTACAGTTCTGTGCCAGGTGTCATGACTACGTGATTAAGTCTGACAGAAGCTTAGATGCCGCTGTCTGCAGATAACCTCTTTCTCACTGATTGTGGATGCCAGTGCTTTGCCACTCCCAGCACTGGGTTTGGGGTGTTCCAATTCGGTCATTCCAATTCGGTGATTATGGGCATTTTGAGCTCCCATTTGAGAACTCTTGGACGCTGCTCTTAAAGTCATTAGCTGGCTTGTTCAGAATACAAATCTCTATTGGAATTATTCTGCTTATAAATTCCTAACTGATGGATCCCTATATACGCCATACATGCTCTGATCTGCGTGCTGGGCAGCACAGGGGAGCTTGCTAACAGGCTTCCCCTCTGGCACGATGCCCGCTGCTAAGTGATCTCACCTGAAGTTCTATTTTGGTTTCTTTCTTGACATCTTGCAGCTGTTTCTCAAGTGACTTTATCTCCTCCTTTCCTTCCTCCTCCCTGAAGAAAAGTGAGAAAATACAATCATTTGAATGTATCAAAAGAAGACAAGTGGTGATTACCCACCAGGAGAGCTTCCCGTCTCCTGATGTATTTCGGCACCTAGCTGTGTACCTCCCTGCTTATCCTGCTCACTCTGCGAGTTTGTAACAGCTAAGCTGAAAGAATTGCACAAAAAATGTTGGCCTATTTCTTCAGAACAGCAGAAGACAAGCCTCTTTCCATAATACTAAAAAAAGGTGTTCATCTTCATTCTGGGCTTTGGGGAGGATGCACATCTGCAAGTCAGGAAGAGAAACTCCTCAAGCTAGTGACTTGGTAAGTTAATCTTGTGCATAGACTGAGCACAGAAGATGGGAATGAAAGGGAGAATGAGCCAAAAACCAGGGGATGCTCTTGCCGAAAGCCTAAAGTGGATTTGAGGATGATGCAATTCCTACAGAAGAGAGGGAAGATGCCTGTCATTGACAGTTTCTGCATTTCAGACAAAAATCTTTTTTCCACGCAGAAGCATGCCTTGTCAGCCGACAGTGCCAAATCGTGTAAGTTTCATATCGGATTTAAAGTCTTTTAAAAAGCATTGCCTCAGATTCTGAGATCCAGGAAGGGGTGTGAGTGAAGGCCAAAAGCTACAAAGCTGTTTGCCTATTTAAAACAAACCAGATGCAGTAATGTTCTAGGTCTTACTTATTATCTTATTTCACTCTGAGTGCTTTTCTGAGCTTTCATGCTTATGATTTGATTTTAAGTCAGTAAATACTAGAGTCAGTACCTGAGACTTTGTACCCTACCCCAACCTTAGAATCAAACATGCATTTCATTTTCAGAGTCCTTAGCTGGGCGATTGTGATAAACAAAAGCTCCTGATAAGGAGTTCCAGTCCTCCTGCAGACTGCTTTCAGACTAGGATATTGACACAAAACCAGACAAGTGTGTATTACATTGAAATACAGATAAAGTTCATTCCATGAAAAGTATGTAAAATAGAACAGACAACGTAGTGTCTAGATATGATTGACAGAATAGAATACAAATTATGTCCTTTCTGATTTTAATTTGTCTGTTACTTTCCAATATTGACTAGTTATTCCACAAGCGATTGCGGCTTTCATTTTTGCTTTCTGTCCCTTCTGAGGATCAATAATAAATCCCTTGGGTTTAGATGGGGGAAGAGTTGGCTTTCATGCTTGAAATCACAAATTTCACTGGAAGCTGGGGACTTGTAGTGCAGGCAGACCACTGAGCCACCACCAAGGCTGTTCCAGTAGATTAGACTTGTGACAAATCATGACTTACAGCAGATTTCCTGTCTGTCCTAAATGGTGAGCCTGAGCTGCTACACAGAATAAAGTAGCTTTAAAATGGTCAAATACTTCTCTGATGACTGCTGTTCTCTCTGACAGGCTGGGAATTGAACCAGAGCTTCCCATGCTAAAAAAAACCCTCCAAACCTCTGGAGCACAGAAGTTTGAGCTAAGGAATCACCAGTTAGAGCTGAGATTATAACAAATCCGTACCCTGTCAGATTTGGGACAGAAGAGGATCTATAATGCAGTGGCTGGTGGATTAGCCTTAAATAAGATGACTGCCTCTGCCACCATCTGTGCTAGCCCCTTGCTGCTACTAGGAAAAAGGAGCATATTAGCATATGGGTCAGAGCAGATCCTCCCGGGCATCGCATAACCTAAAGACCATATGTTGCTGGCCCTGGTTTGAAGAGATTCTCTGCTGCTCTGGCTTTCGCTGGGGACAAGGAGTTAAAGATCAGAGAGCTCCTACATCACATTATGTTTTAATTGATATGGAGCAGCGCTTGCATTAATGTGGACACTGGTGTGCACTGTGGTGAAAGGTCAGGTAATTCGTAGCTCAGATCAATATCGGAACCATCAGCTATTTCTTGCTGAAAGGGAAAGAAGCACAATTTGTAAAGCAGACAGAATAGTTCAAGTTGAAAAAGCAAAATCATTTCTGTAACTTGAGGTTGTTGGTTTTGGGGTTTTTCCCCATTTAGCATGTACTGAGAGAGAATGAACTTTGGCTTTGAGCAGTTAGGCAGGAAAGTTCTGAACACAACACTGACCTGATGAGGAACTTGTGAAACTTGCTATTCTTTGCCTTCTCTCTCTCGTTAGCTTCTGTTAGACTATTAAATGTCCCGGTTTCCTGCATCTCTTTCATAGTGACTGTAATTACATCACTTGCATACTGCCTGCCAGGAAGAAAAAGAACACAACAGTAATTTATAGGTGCTGGTACTACAGTGCCTGGCACCTTATCCATTGTTGTTTACAGCTAAAAAGGTAAGGAAATACACGACCCCGTTTCTAAGGCCTATCAAACCGAGGAGTGCTTCTCCCATGGTACCTGCTTCTTGTACGCCTGGAGAACTCTGTATTAGGAGTTGACTGAAGTTTCTGATTTAAAAATGCTGCACCAAATGGTACTCTAGGAAATAGCAAAGAGGCAAAAACATATCCATGCTGTGCCAGATTGGGCTGCCATCAGGAAGAGGGCTGCTGGCCTGCAGTAGTGATGACAGCTAGGTAGACCCTAGACAAGACGTGAGGATGCAGACAACTGTGTCTATTAAGGGATATCTGGGTGCCAAAATATCCCAGTACAGCTTTGAGCTGATCTTAACAAACACATGGGCTTGCCCAGTTTATTGAATTTCATAGTGCATGTGGTATTTATCTTTTATCTGTGTTTTCATCATTTGTGTTACGATCTTCTTTAAGCCCTTTGTTGAAATTAAAGGACAGAAGCCAGGATGCAGAAAAAAGCATACCAAATGCTCAGCTCCCACATCTCTCTCTTAAACCAAAGGCTGTTGGCATTTCTGCCTCACTTTATAAGGTGCAGGAATAAAATTTATTTTAAAAAAGAAACTTGTTGGTCTTTATGCAGATTATCTCTTCTATAAAGAAGAATGGCTGTAGCTGCCTTAATGCTCTGTGTGCCCTGCAGAGTAACCAAGTTCATGAGGGAATGCTCAGATCCCACTTTGCCTGCACATATCTACTAGGGGAAGCTGACTTCAGGTACCAGAACCTGAGCACTGCTAGATCCTGGCATGAATTCCACTCAGACAACAAGTATCAACTGGGTAATCATATTTCGCAACTCCATTCAAAATAAACTGATTGTCATTACTTGACATCCAGAGGCAAGCAAAGGCCAGAGCTAAATGGCCTGTGAAGCTAGACCTCACTGTGCCCCTTAGAGATGCTCCTTCTAGACCAAGAGTGAGGTACACCAGGAAGGGGAGAATGGGAAACCTGTATTTTTGCTTTCAAGAGACTGAGAACTTCACAGCTCTAAGCATCCCCCATAGCCATCATATATGTGCTTCACTCACCTGTCAGCCTGAATTTTTCTGAGATTCTCTACAGACAGAGCACTGTGTTTCATGGCCCTGTTGGGAAGATAATGGGTACTTTTCACATCTTCATTTTTCCCCCGCTGCTGCTTGTGTTCGATGCTTTCCTGAGACGTGGAGGTAACCATTTCCCCACTCCCCTGCCTAATGGACATAAGCTCTTGATAGTTAATGTCCAGCTCCTTCTGGGTCCCTATGATATCTTTCATTTGCTGGCTGCCAGTCTAAAAGGGAGTAAGAGAGACACTTGCATACTGGGCAGTAGAAATAAACCCTCAGCAACATTACATGAGAGGAAGAAAAATTAATGACACGGTACTAAGAGCAGTTGATAGTGCATGTTATGTTCCACAAAGAGAGAAGAGCAGAAGCATTTTTCTTTGTTAGCTTTGAGCACACAGTTTAGGCTTATCTAAGTTTATGGAATTAAAAGTCCTAAAGTGACAGTCCTAGAAAAGGCCTCAAAAGGTCAATTCACCCTCCCTGAGAGATGCTGGTTCAGACTATGTGACTCCTGACGTACTCTTAATGACCTCCAGCAGTGGCAACTACGCATCCTCCTGCCAGTGCCAGCACATCACAACAGTCTTTATCGTAAGAAAGCGTGGGTTTTTTTTCTCCTCAGCTGCAGCTGAGCCCCCTGGCTTCTGGTCCTAGCCTCTGTAGGCACAGGGAACAAGTCATTCTCTCTGTCTTTGCAGCAGCTTTTATGGACTGGGAGGCTGCTGGCCTGTTTCCCCTCTGCCTTCTCTCCAGCGTAGCTGTTTCTCACTGCCTGTCGCCGTGACCTTTCTCTACAATATTACTCCTACAACAGGAGCTGAGATGTGTGAAATAGAAGTGATAGACATCAGCTATCTGATTAGCTGGTTTTTTTGAGAGAGTGAGAACAGAGGAAGTGTAATGTGAATTCAAAGAAGAAATACAAAATATTGGCAGCTCTCTTCTACATGGAAGGGTGTCTTCTGATGGGGTACAATTTTATTTAAGGAAAACAAATCAGAAAAGCAAAAGCACGCTATCAAAGCAGCGGAGTCCTAGCTTCTAGGAATTTCTCTGCTTTATGTGCTATGAGTAAGAATGCAGGTGTATACACTGGGACATTAAAAGAGAAAATTTTCTTGCCTGCCTACCGGTATCTCTGTAGCTGAACACGTAATAGCAGTGCTGCTGAAACCACCTAACGCAGCCCCTGCCAGCCCCGTCCTGCTTCATAGCTGCCTACTCCCTACCCTGGCTGCTTGGGAGAATGGATGAGAGAACTCGCTGAGCTGAAACACTTTCCAGGAAAAAGTAAACAAACAAATTTTTAAAAAGTTTATTTTTAGCAGCAGCACTTCTCAGTCCAGATCCCTCCACAATCACACACACATTTGCTCCAACACAGCAGAGAGGGCAGAGGAAAAAGCAGTCAGGGCGGCACATCAGCCAGACTTCCAAGAAGCTACTTATCAAGCGAGGCTCCCTTGGTGGTCTGTGACGCTGCCCTGGCCCCTGAGGGTGGTGCACAGGGCACGGCGAAGGGCTGCTTCGTTCAGAGTATCTTGGACATCTCCAGGTGGGGCGAATCAGCCTCTGGCAGTGCCTGACTCACCACTGACTACAAAAGGAGTCTAGGTGACTACATACTTAATTTTTTTGAAAGTTATATTCACATTAAATGAACCACATGCAAAGTATTCCCAGACCAATGAAAATTACATAGTTAATTAGAAAGAAAGGGGGTTAAATAGTTTGCTGGTGATGGCTGTACTTCAGAAAGAAAAAATTTTGGCAAACAAACTGCTTTAATATCATGTAGATATTATGAATGTTCTGACAGATGTTTTTTAATGTCTGGGAAAGTTTGGCAGGCTATAACTGGATTGCCTGTAAACAGTAGGGACTTTTACACACTAATAATTACCACATAACGACGTAAGAGCAAGGAGTTTGTAAACTGCATGTGCTACCATCCCTGCAGTCTCCTAGCTGTTTATCTTTTGCTAGTCTTTTGGCCAAAATTCAGCAAATAGAAAGGCTGCCTCCCCCTAGGGGGATGCAATATACATGAGTCCTTGATTTGGAAAATCAATGAGGTGCTGGCCACTGCTTTGATTAATCTTCTCAAAAATGTCATCAACTAAAATTGAGATGTCAGTCTTTGAAAATGTCATTGATTCGTTTGACTGATAGAGCTCCAGGATGCTTTGCAAATACACGTCTTCTACAGATACAATGAGAACAGCCAGATGTAAACTGAGAAACAGGGAGGAGTAACAAATTGCAGAGCACCAAAGTTGGCAAGTAGCTTCCCTCAGCCATCTTCTTGTTTCTAAATTGTTTCCTTCGCGATTTGTTTTGGTGTCTTTAAGAACATAAGTAGGGTTTATAGTCTGTGAGACAATTGTGTTTTAAGAAGTGACTTGGTAAAAATGAGTATCTGTGATTGAAGAGAAATGCTAAGGTGTTTTCTCTATAATTTAAGTGTACCTTTAGTAGGTCTGTCAGCCCGCGTCAGTGTGTCTGAAGAAGAACAACTGCTGTCCTAAAGATATTCTCTTTCTCCGTGATTTTGCTGCTGGCACGCAAGAGGTTTCCCGCCCAGCTGTGGGAGAGAAGCAGCGTCTGGAAACAGGTGAGGCCGGCTCACAGGACTCTTTTAAGGGAAGGAGTGCCCTCTATTGCACAGCCTAAGTATCACAGAATTCCCCAGATTGGGAAAGACCTTCAAGATCATCGAGTCCAACCATTAGCCTAACGCTGACAAGTCCTCGACTAAACTATACCCCTAAGCACTGTGTCTGCCCGGCTCTTAAAAACCTTCGGGGATGGGGACTCCGCCACTGCCCTGGGCAACCCGTCCCAGGGCCTGACAACCTGTTCAGTAGAGAAATTCTTCCTCATATCCAGTCTAAAACTTCACCCCCTGAAATTTACTGCAACACCAGCTTCTGCTGCTTTGCAATGGATTTTTTGAAAAGAAGGTTGTGTGGAAAAGAAACGTGGAGAAAACAACAGACTGATTTACCTTCCTCTTGCATTGTTAAGTGGTGCATTAGACAGAGTGAACAGCATTAGATCTGCAAACTCGGATCTATCCTGGTCACACGCTTTTTTTTTGTGTGTGTGTGTGTCTGTGTGTGTATTCCTCTTAAAAAAAGAGTTTCAAACCTGCTGAAACTGGAAACAGCTTGCTATGTCACTTAAAATGTATTACAATAGAACTTAGAACCATTTACCCCTTAGGATGGTCACATCCTGTTTCCTAACAGAAATATCACAACACCTTCCGCCACAGCAAGAAACCTCTGCCTGAGCGTTAGGGCTTCTTCTCTGCTTTTAATATCTCTGCCCAAACCCTCTTACTTATGATGCCTATTAGAAATCAACTCATTAATAATGGCCATTGAGAATGGGTAGTTACTAATATACTATGAAATGGAGTCTTTCTTAATTCATTGTCTGTGGGGACTAAAGGAACTTTAGCATGAACTTAGGAACAGAAATACCCTGGGTTAGAATGCTTTCAAATATCCTATTCTTTTGCATTTATAAAATAGCTGTGATTTTGAATAAGAATCAAGGTATGTTTTGTTTCCTCTTCCCTAATCTTTGTCATCTGACCACTGTGGTTTTAAAGCTATAAGCCCAGGAACCTCATTTTGGGTCAGTAAGGTCCCTTGCACAAAGTCTTGATAAAGGCTTCTCAATGATGCTGCAGTGTAAATACTGACATCAGCCATCCATGCACTTTCATTGTCTTTCTTCGCCAAAGCGTCACAGAGCACTTGGCAGAAAAAATATCCAAGTTGATTTTTTAAAAATGCTGCTAGAAGACATAAAACCAAGACAAGAAGAAAACCAAGAGAAACTTCTTTAAAGAGGAAGGATAGAGGCACGTACATGGCTGATGTCTGTCGTGTCTTCAGATGAAATCGGCGTGATACATCCAAGAATTGAGAGCTGATCAACACAATTCTCCAGCACAGCAGTAAACAGCAGAGCTTCCAGATGAGTGATTTTTTCCATTTCTTTAGTCTCTGCACCCTTGCTAAGAGGAGTAAAGACAAAAGATACCAATGAAAAAGACACGATGGTGTTAGTAATGTTAGTAACAGCAGTTTAAGCCAAAGGTAAATCTGAAATAGCCTAATTTGGGGTCTTTCATGTACTGCCCTAGCTTTGTTTATAGCCTTTCATACACTGTTTATACGAGGAGCCATGCTCTGCTAACAGGGGCATCTGGGGACAGTGGGAATGTTTAGCTTTCCCAGAACAGCAGATCTGGGGAGACAGGCTGAGAAGAGAATGGATATGGAAGGCACGAACGGGGTGAGGTGGCCTCACCATTCAGTTCAAGGGGCAGCAGTGTTTAATGATGGGCTGTGTTCTTCAGGAAACGACGGAATGAAGGTGCCTTTATAAAAGGAAAAAAAAAATCTACGTCTTAGAAAATGGCAGATGGTGAACCTTCATGGTCTAATCATTCCTCAGTGTTACTGTGTACCCGTAATATTTTTATGATCCCAGTCCCCTCAGCAAGAACTGTTGCCACCTTAAGATGTGAAAAGTCAAACAAGAACCAATACCTGGACTAAGTAAACTATCTCTGAAGTTCTGTTGTTTTATTTTGAATTGCATTTCAAATGCGATACTGCTCTGACGTACACTTAAGCATCCTTTTGCCTTTCCTACAGATGGAATATTGTGGAAATGCTTCTAGGGAATAGTGGAAATTCACTATTAATCCAAGGGAAATTGGTCCATTTAGCAAAACTGGAGTCTGAGATCCTGCATGTCGTTGCAACGGAAGCATCAGCATCCACTAACAAAATCTTCATTTGGCTGCTATACCTACAACCAGATCTGTGCCATCTGTAAAACCCTTGAATCAACATATTCTAGGTCTGCAGAATCGGGCAGTCCAATCTGCTTAGCCTGCCAAGGAAATACATCAGACAATGCCTGTTACCCTGATGGCGAAGATAAGACATGGCCACATTCCATGAAAATTAAAGAGGTTTACATGCCGTTATTCACTGGATTACTGGAAATCGGTGATATTTCATAAGCAACTTTGTAAGTGTTTAAAAAAATGCATACTTACTTTAACTACTCTGAAACTGTTACCATTTGTCCTCATCTTTTTTGTTATTTTTTGGTGAATATAGTAATTTACAGTTGGAACATGAAATTAATTTCACTTGGGCATCAAAAAATGGGCAACTTTTCAATTATTGGATGTCTATTAGTACAGAATAGGTAAAACAAACTTGGATTATACTCAGAAATAACTTAGATTTTATGTATTTGTTTCTTGATTCTCTCTTGCAGTAAGTTGTTTAATGCAACATGTATTGAAATGCACTGTCCTTTGTCCCAGGACACGGCTCTCCTTGTGCATCAGACTAAAACGAGAAAGCCCACTGTGCGAGTGACCATCTTTTTCGTGACAGCTACAGGTATAGTCAACGAAACCGAAATATTGCTCCTTTCAGCCAAGACCCTTTTCATCAGTTAACTGAAAACTCAGACCTGCAAGAGTACCAGGTGCAGTCTTGCATGAAGGATTTTCACAAGAATTTCTGCTATGAGGTTGGGAGCACAGGGTGGAAGAGAGAGTTCGGGACTGGCATGACTCCGATGCTATGAACTGTGAATCATGAGAAGTGCTTTGATATAGCAGGACTGGTATTTTCAGCAGATATAAAGAAGTATTAGTGCTGCTGCGTAAGGAGTCAGTAAACCTCAGATAAGGCATGGTGCGTGTTTCTAGTTATTTGTATTAAAAAAACAGACACGGGTACAGAAAACAACTAGTGGGGTGATCATGGGAATAGAAAATCTGTTTTACAAGAGGTTAAAAGAATTGAAATTGTGATTACTGTCTGTAAATACATATGAAGAGTAGGTAACAGGGAGAGACAGAGCTACTTAAGTTAAAGGATAATAATAGTCCAGGGTCAAAGGAGTGTAATTTTCCCTAAGGCAGGCAATTATGATAAGATTTCTAAGTTCTGGATGGATGAAGCCTTTCAGACAAGAGGATGGTAGAGGCACCCTAAATTATTTTAAGAAGCTTGCTTAAATCATGGCAGGAAAAGATAACAGCAAAGGAGTGATTCTTAATATTATCAATATGTTTACTATCCTAGTACCATTTATACTGACTTACCTAATTAATCCCACTGTTCAGGACTCTTGGTGATCACCTATGACAAAGAAGGAACAGATTTCCTCCTTTTGTTTCTGGGATTTTTTTCCTCTCTCTTAATTATAAAAATTTGCTGCAGCTTGAGATAGGAATATGATAGTATCACTAACAAATAAACAGATAATAATCTGTATAATACACTGAAAACATCACTTTTCCTTTCTTTTCAACCTTGGAATCAATGATAGAAGTGGAGATGCATGAGTTAAGTATTTTTATGTAGAGAAAATCAGACAACGTCTCTTTCCAGTCAACAGGCAGTAGTAAAATATGTTTAAAATGTTTTACTTTTTATCTTTTAAAGAAATCTATGATCTGTATTTTGAGTCTAAACAACATAAGAATAATATATTATGTGTGGAGCCCTACTGCTAAAAATATGGTGAAAAACGATTTGTTGTGAGATAGCTGTGGCAGAGTTCCTGAAAAAAAAGAAATAGCACTTGCAGGTCCTGTAGGAAAAAGTGGCTTATTTAGAAACAAGAGGATGCAACAGATGACCTTCTATCCCATTAGCAGCTTCTGTCCAAGAAAAAATTAAGATATAAAAGTGCATTAAGAAAGCTCAGAGCTGAAATGTTTCTCTAAATTCCGCTGGTTTGCTCCTCTTACATATCTGCTCTCATAGCGGCACGCTCATGGAGCACATGTGTGTGTGCTCTGGGCTTGTGTTGACTTGGGAGGGAGAAGGAAACCACTGTCTGGGGCATTAAGAAACACTGCAAGTGGTGAGCTGCCCTGCCTGGATTTTAGTGTTAATGCCGTGCCCACAGACCATCCTGATGCAGCCATTGGCATCGGCCTTCATCACTGAATTCCTTCATTAAACTCTATTAATAAAAAAAAAAAAGGTATGTGAAGGATTCAGCGTCCCCCAAGAGTTTAGGTTGACATT